TTAGACGCTGCAGCATCACGGTTCGACTCCCGCTGGGGTTGTTGATAAGACCGATGCGAGGTCGAAACTGCAGTCCACCTTGAATGAGAACACCTTTTGGGAAAGCAAGGCTAGGTGAACTTCAAAGTAAACGTCAGCTTTACTCAAATCATTGTGGGAAAATTCGACTACCAGACCTTCCTCACCATAAAAGATATAGGGTGAACACAACTCAAATATCTTATTTACTAGTAGTCCCGAAAACCTACTCAATAACGAAAAATACAGTATATATTATGGCACCTTCTTTCTTCATCGCCCCTAAAATGAAGGCATCGATAGGTTGACTATGGACGATTCGTTAATACTCAGCTTCTAAGACGAACTTCTCAAGTTAATCTGACAGAGCTCAATACATGGACTAGTAGAAATATTTTGATAAGATAATTAAAACAAGAAAATGTCGTGGCAATTTTTTCGAAAGATATTTCTCACAGTCAACTTCGAGACTTATATTCTTGGTGCTTACCTTGCTTACTGTTTATGATCCCTTATAATTGTGCTAGTCAGATCTTTTCAAATGTTTTCAAGTGAATTAGACCAAGTAAATGAAAATGAGTTCCTGCTTAGTCTATGCAATTAACTCGGTCTGGGCACACACATAAGCTACTTTAGCTCAGACTTCCTATGCGAGCACAGACCCTGACAACCAGGGCCATTCCACATAGTTGCTGCAGAGAATTAAAATTAAAAATAGAGTAAAATAGGGCAATCTATATGCAGGTATGGCAACCGTTGAAATCCATATACTAGACACTGAGTTGCTTGCTTAGAGTAAATTCCGTAGGGCTTAGAGGCGCAGATTCTATGCAATTGGGTATTCTAGAATAGTAGTATCTCGGACTCGGATTCAGACCAAGCGTGTCTGTCTAGAGTGGCATAGACTGCGTACTCGTTCACACTCCTTTTCTTTGTCTGTTACCAAAAGAGGTCGGACCCTGACCAACTGCCTAACTTGCTAGCATAAGTTCTTTTCTTCTACCGAATAATAATATATCGCTTTATATTTCTTTCCTAAATTTTATAAATGCTATACACTTTGGAAGAAAAGTTCATTGGAATATGATTAGCAGACTTTCATCAGGAGGAGAATATGCTAACTAGTTATTTGTGGAAGAAATAAAAGTCTTGCCTTTACGAAATTGATTAAAGTTTAATTGATGCTCCTTATGTCGAAAAAAAATATCAGTAACACTTCAATAGACTGTCCTAAAAGGGATATACTTTTTATTAACTTGGTCGTTGTTTACAATATTTAATGCTTTTACAGAATAATAATAATAATAATTTCTTTAGCCAAACTGAAAATAAGTTCTTAAGTAAGTCTCGTATTACTAAAAAAAATACTTTTCATAGTGTGTTAGTTATACTTTCATCATTTTTATAGAATTATTCTGTAAGTAATAAAAATAATCTTGTACCAATGCCTTCAATATGAGAGTACAAAGGATCAGTGAAATTTTGTAATACTTAAATCATAGAATGTAACCTTTTCATGAATGGAGATGCGCAACGGATGCTTCACAAATCCGCATCATTTGCCATGCGGTGTCATGTGAAATTAAGGACCGAAATACCCACTATAAATTATTTCTTGCCTCATGACAAATTTCACTGCCAAATACCTCTTGATAAACCTTTTCGTGAGATTCGAACCAAGACAGTGCCGATGAAGAAGAAATCATTCTATTAATATATCACACTCCAACCCCAAGAGCTAGAACTTCATTTACCATTATCATACATTATAGTAACATAGTGGTTGAGATACCCCAGTTTTAGGCCACTTTTCGGTTGTTGATGAGATTTTGTGGCAGTAAAAGTTACATTCCTTTACGAGAGCTATCCTCCGGTAGATAAATGAAGCTTAAACTGGTCTCATATAGTTCTTTTATTAGGGGTCTGCAGCAGGGAATGGAAAAGGTTACATCATAGTAATAAGCAGGTCCCTGAGTATACTTTGAAGTGATGACTTTAAGAAATAAATGAGGCTGTATTTATTACATTGTATCTTTGAGATGCATACAAAATCAGCCCTAACAGCAATGTCAATAATAACATGCTATATGCATCATGTACACAATTAAAGCAAAAATAGCATTTATATATTTATGCCACATTTAGTATACATACTTAATTGTAAACAAAGTTATCCGCATGACTGACAGAGATAGTAAAATAATTCCGTTTAACTTTGATTTACCTTCAGGTGAGTAGCATGGGCAAAGTTTATTTGTTGGTTATCATAGACTCAAGCCTTAGAACTGTTGAGCGTCAGTTAAAAACAAGGTCGAAGGCTGAGTCCAAACCCTATCTCTAAAACCACTTTCCCAGTAGTTTTCTGGTTTTTTGTTGGACTAGACTGCTTCCATATTCATTCTTAAATGGAAGACATATTGTACCGGCAAAACCATATACTTCTTTGTCAAGTCAATATTTGAATCTCGAGTGCCATTATTTTATAATAGCTATACTCATCGTATGTAACATTATATGATAAAGAACTACCCAACACAAAATCATAGTAATATTTAGCGGGTTGATTAAAAGTTATATACTATAATTATGACTAGTTAACCTAGCTTAGAATTGTCTAAAGGTCGGGGGTGGATATTTCCATTAAATGCTATTTTCGAAACATATTTGCTTCAAAATTACTATTTTAGGCGCCTCATTATATCCATTTATATTTGAAATTAAAAGTTTCCAAAAATTATTCAGGTTAGTGGATCATTGTTGTGCCCCTTCACTACACAGGGAGGCACAGGTATGCTCTAGTTGCAAAAATGAAGTTCAATCTAATTCATTACCTCTAAAGGCTATTCTAAATAACCCTGGGTCTGGTGTGTTATCGATAAGATGCTGGAGTAACATGACTTTATTAGCTCATAAGGAGCTACGCGAGCAAGTTTCCTGAAGCTTTCCAGTGTATGTGAAAAAAAGTATCTTACCGACAAACTTTTTTAGCCGCATAAATTTCATCGCTTCACTTGAAGAACAAGACCAAGCTAAAAGTAATATCAATAGGAAACTTAATTAAAACCAAGCATATGGGTGGTAATCATACTTTTATTAAGAGAAATTCGAAATAAATCAACGTAGCACAAGCTTCATTTATCATTATTTTCATTTTTACACAATCCTAACATTTCGCTTATCAGGCAGCAGAATGCCGATATAATAAATCAATGGAGATTACGAAGGTGAAAGGTCATGTTAATCTGAAGCCTGGTGATGAGAAGGCCTTCCTCAATGCAGTTGCAGAAGTTGGACCAATTGCCGTCGCCTTTGATGTCGAAGAAGACTTCATGAGTTATGGGTATGAATCTTATAACATAAGACGTGGCCAAAAGTTCTATAAAGATTGAGAGTATACTCTAAATAGACAATGTCCATTTTATCTAGTTTGAAGCAGCATTGTGTTGATAAGGAGATTTAGTTCTGACAAGAGTTAGTCACCTGTGACAACGCTTCTCTCCTCAGAGCCACATTGTCATATGTAATGATATAGTTGCTCGCTAAAATCTTGCAGGAGAATAATATTTCGCTGAATGAGTTATATTCCATCCTACCTTGTATTATTCATATAGTATCCATTTTAATCAGCCCTCTCTTGATTCAACTCTCATTTCGAACTGGGCTCAATTCGATAAGAGAATTAAGACAATTAAGTTGCAACTGCCCTTTAAAGTACGGCGTAAAACAGGAACAATGATATTCTAATACTAATTATCCTTGCTCATTAGGAGTGACTTATAGCTCGTCATAACGGATGAATTCAGGTGAAATATAAATGTAATGGTAGTGTAGGGAGTTTGGGTTCTAAACCAATTGCTCTGGCATAAGCTTGGTGTAGTATGACTTTGGTTGAATTACACCTAGCTAGGTCCTAGTCGTAATCCGGAAGACTAGAATCACGCGATAGAGGGTCAATCATCTTGTCTATATGAATGCTTAAATTTGAGCACTTGCAAACTATTACTTACTGGCCCTTTCCAGTCTTCAACGATTGCACAAATCAAACCACCTTCCTATCGGAACAAGCATTGGCCTGAGGTCTAAAGCCTAAATTATTCTCTTTCATTAATGTCGGGCTGATGAGTATTTTTTGTCTGAGTGCAAATGAGTCAACTTTGGTTCTATAAACAGGCCTTGATCTCCTTTTTCTGAATTGAAATGCCCTAGTTTGCAAAATGCTCAATATACGACTAAAGTACTTCTATTTATTTCGATTGTCTAGTTCATAAATCTATGTTGGCTGTCTTGTGGCTAGGTACTCTTTGTAAAATTTGCCTGAACGTCCGTCCATAATATATGCCACACGAGGATAAGATAGGATGACAGCATAATATGGATAGTGGATCCAGCTTAACTACAAACTATGCAAATTGCTGGGCGATCGAGTTTATATTTTTTTAAAGAATCTCAGCCCTCCCCACATCGCCATAAGGATTCCAATCTTGATGGATTTATAAAATTAAAAAATGTGGTTTGTTTCATCGTGTATTGTCCATCCACGAACTCACACTTAGTGCTATCAATATGATCCCCGTTGAGCCAGGATGAAGTGATTTGGGATGTAGATTTGGCTTGTATGTGCTGAATGCATTGTTTCTAAACCTAAAATTTCTATCTCAATATGGATTTCGATAGGCGGGGAGGATAATTTTATATTTTAATAAAATGTGTCTGGGCTAAGAAATATAGTGGAATGTAGAATTCCTTTATCATTATTTTCTTATTTTCAAAGTAATAGGCTGGTATTACTCATTTTCACATATGTTCAGAGATATTTTTGGCACGGAAAATGTCTTATTATCATACCCTGAAAAAATAGTCTATTTTGAAAACACCATTTCGTGCTATTAATCGTTTTTCTCAGATTATATAACTTTCTTTGCTTATTTATGTTCTTTTCAAAAACAACCTGTATTCATAAAGAGGAGGCATTTTCAACAGTGAAATCTGTGACTCATATATGATCAACCATGCAATATTGATAACTGGCTACAAAACTGAGAAAAAATCTCTTCAAAAGTATTGGATCGTCAAGAACAGTTGGGGGGAAGATTGGGGGGAGGAAGGATACATCCGTGTCGCTCGTGAGGATCCCCCAAACCTTTGTGGAATCCTAGCTATAGGTGTTTACCCTATTCTTTAATTATTTACGCTTATTACTATGGCTGTGCATACTTCACTTGTTTTCATGCCATTAATACTTGCCGATATCTCTGCTTTTTTGGTTTTCGATTTTTATTTATAAAACACTTATGCTATTGTTTGGAGAAGTAATGTTAGAAAAAAAATACATATTATAAATAACTTTCTTACAAGGTAAAAGAATTGGGGGAAAATCTTCTATTTTAAAACTTGTGAGCTTGGTGGGGTCGAATGTAAACACTCTTAAAATGCGTTACTGTCGTCTGATGAAGCAGCAAATTGAATCTACACTAACTCTTAGGAATATTCGTGCAACCAAAGTAAATATAAACCCGTTCTGTTAACATGTATACCGAATTCTTCAGCATAATATTGTTTCTAGTGGCTTCTGCATGACTTGTCGATTTCCAATAAGGACTCGAGACAGCTCTAGTCATTTGGAGTGATTTAAGGACTAAGTGTTGGAATTCCCACATTGAAATGATGTTCTTATGTGAGCGTCATTTTCGCCCAGCATTAGCTATGTAGATATCTACTCTACCCACTACAGATTAAAGTGCATCACTTTTACATTTAAATTATCTTCGCTTTGAATATTTAAAAGCCATTATAATCCAGGATGAACCGTAGTTTTAAACATGATTGGGTCTCATCAGCAACGTCGGGAGGATTGGAAACAGGTATAGACTGGATGAGATTAAGACGATAAGGCATAAAAGGCGTATCTCGAGATGCATCCTTGGTTGGAAATCTTTTTTTCACTAAACTATATAAACGGCCATCGGGATTATGAATATTTTCAATGTGTACCAGCTCCTAATGACATTAAAGCCGAATATTGGCTTTGTCTTGAAAGCCATACTTCTTTTTATGATATTTTTTCAATGAGTCAATGAGTCAGCTCCATCTATGGTTAACATCAGACAGAAGTTGGTGATTAAATAATTAGGAAAAGTTTAAAATATATTCTATCTTGGACATTGAAACGCAT